ATCTCACATCAAAGTGGATGCACTTCAATCGTGTCGAGAATATGGTGTAATATTACTTGCCAAAAAGGTCAAAATTATCAACTTTGCTGACGTTACGCTACTTTTACTGCATTTGATTATTTTTGTGGCCATAAAAATTACATAAGATTTTCGGCATGATTGAAGTGCATCCTCTTGGATGTAATATTAAAATTTATTTTTGCTGTGTATACAAAACCTAGTCAAGCAGAAATATGGTGATTTCTTTTACGAGCATTTCCGTTTCAGAACAAAATAAATATGGATTATTCTGTCGATACAAACACACATTGAACCTGAACGTAATCCATCACCAGAACGCACAATAAAAAGCTCAACTATTACTCTTTGTACCGAGCCAAACGACATTGCAGCCAATTATTCTCTGACTCTGACCGACTCGAGTTCAAATCAAATCCCGAAGTATCAACGCTCTTTCGAAGCTCTCAAGATCAGCACCAATCAAAATATACCAATACCAGTACCAATGTGCCAAACACTTGATTCATACTCCGAAAACCTGCAGCACTTGGGCGAACCAGATTGAGGCGACTCGCAGCAATTGAGATAAATTGGTTTTGACACGGTGACGTTCTGAAAGAATATCGATCACACACTTGCTACACAGTGCGGCCATTGGGCTTTTGGCCTCCCGTCGTCGGTTGCCAATTTCGATCAAATCGCAGACTAGCAGACGGAAGAACTTGCTCGAATTAGTACTGATTGGATCCGTTAATTGATCGCTACGCATCTATTTCGAGGCTCAATATTGTGCGATGAACCCTGGTCAATTGTCGGAATAAAGGAAGATCTACTTTTGCCAGAAGAAATCATTGCCATAAGACTGCCGCCATGTATTAGATTTTCACTCAACAATGGTCATACGGTTCCAAATTGAGTCTTAGTTATACTCCGAAACTAGTTTTGTACGTGTGTAATTTAATACTTACAAAACAAATGGGATGAACAGAAAAAATTAAATGTCGATTTTTTGCATCCTCTGAATTTATTTATTATAGAAAATGTAATGGCAGTTCTTATAATGAACTGTAGCGTACAAGCAAGTTTTTAAAGATTAAATATTTTCGTATCAAAACTACTCGAGATTACTTTCTAGCCACAGTGCATTTGGGGAAACAAACTATGTTCGAAAATTCAACTAAAATAGTAATTTCAAAATTATTGGAAAAATTTCCTACAGCCGCATTAAAAAATCTGTTTTTTTTATTTAAGGTTTGAATTTATTAAAAATGACAAATTTTACATAAATTAAAATTTTAAAGTTAAGTGTTTAAATGTACGTATGTACTTTGAAGATACATTTTATACTTTTAATATATAAACATTTAACGAATTTCCGTTTAACATGTGTTCAACAATTAATTTGAAAACATTTAAATCTTATTTCAGCAATGAATTTTTTTACATAATCTTATATGAACATTAAAATGAAATTTAAAATTGAACATGTTTCATTTAACATTTTCTATAGATCATTTTAACGTTAACAATGTGAAAATTTCTCTTAAAATTTAAAATCGTTTATTCAGCATTTCAAATTTTAAATCTTACAAGAAGCGTTTAATTTAAAACTCAACATTTAATATGTAACATTAATAATTAAGAAACTCAAATTTAAAATTTTAAAATTAACAATTGAACATTTATAATTTTAAATTGAAATGTAAAATTTAAAAATTTCAAACTTAAAATTAAGCAATTGAAACAAATTCAAAATTTATATATTCAACATAAAAATTAAAAATCAAAATTTAGAATTTAAAAATTTAAAATTTTATCTTAAATTCAACATTTAACAATCTACAATGAATATTTAACATTATTCCAAGTTTGTATTTGATTTTACTTTGAGATTTTTTTAGTGTACTATGTACTATGTGAAGTTTTCTGTGGATCAGCAACAGTGCTGTAAATTTTCAAAATCAATCGATCATTTTTAGTAAAAATGAGAAAAGCCGCTATCCCCTTTCAAAGAGACCTCCTTCGAATGGCTGATATTATTTGCTTAGTCATTTGACGAAGGCATGGATCATTCTCAATTGACTGTAACATACACACAAACGAAGCTCTGGTCGACATTCCGGCGAAAAAGCTAAGCCAACCCGACACTCACCTGACTTATACCAATTCCCAACTCGATGTTGACCTGACATTTACCCGACATAAAACCAAAATTAAGTCAACATAAACCCGACTTGAGGTCGATATCGATTCTTAATTTGCCCTACATTGATTCGACATCGGGTTGACATGTCTGTTCTTCAGAGTTGTGACCTATCTCCAGGGTTGAAAAAATCACCAGCATTCACTATGAAATGAATGTTTCATCCATGGTGAACTTTGAGGAATTTTAGTGATTTTTTTTCAGCCCTGCCTATCACAATCACGATCATCAAACAGCTGATGGTAGTAACGCAGGGGGTAAGTCACTCTGCCTCCTTGTGCCTATGTTGATTGTGTTTCTTGTGTGTTTTTGGGTGTCGGAAAGTGTTTTGGCATGTCGAGCTAGCTGTCAAAATGTTGATCGAAAATTAAAGATTACTGGCAACTATTACATACACATTTGTGTACCAAAATAATTCTTTTTTCTTTGCTCTCGCCAAAAATTTACCATATTAATAATACACAGTGTAAGCATGGAATCCCAGTAAAAAGCACACGTCAACGTAAACAATTTACAAGAATTCAAATTCTCATCCCTGATCGTCATCTGCATCACCTATCTAAAAGAGTGTACTGTATATGTCCGATTCGATCTCAAAAAGTACTCCCTCAGCTGTCAAATTCTGATGCTTGAGATCCTGGCTCAAACCAGTAAAGCCCTCTCGAATCTGAAACCTGATAACCCAGTCGAGCATGCCCCTTTCTAAGCAATCTCTGGATCTATATTTTGCCAAGAATACGAATTTTTTGTACGCCGCAGCTAATAGGATGGATCGCTCCTTCATTCATACACAATTGCTGATATTCTATAGTGGCTTGTTCTAGAAGCTAAATTGTCTGTCTTTTCAATGTCCCAATTGCGGGAGTAAGTGATACTTCCATATCCCGATCAGTTTCCTCGGTGGAATCCTATCGATTGCTGGAGGGAGATGTCTCAATCAGAAAAAAAAAATCAACAAAAAAAAGGGCATCAAACGAATGAAAACATTTTTGGCTCTAGGCACTGCTGCCAGAAAAGATTGAAATTTTTTTTCTCATGGTGGTTGAAGGGTGTGTCGACGAGTGTTTTTGATGTGTTTAACACAAGGTGGCAGAGTGACTTACCCCCTGTAGTAACGCTTAATACATTCCTATCAATGTGCTTGTCGAAGCACTCTTCATGACCATCCATCAAGTTGCCGAAAGAAGTAAAAAGCAACTGGTGAATGTCGTCTTCCGTGTTGATCCATCACCGATCTGGTCATTTCCGACAGTCACGACACTCATCTGTGCTTGTTTTGAAGCAGTTGTTGCTTTGCTTGCTTGTGTGAGTGTGTTGGTGAGTGAGCCCAACAGCTTCCGTTTAATTTTGCCTGCTTTGTTTGTAACTCACACAGTCGCGCCTTCCGAGATGAACTTAAGCTGGGTTTAGATAGGGCAAGTCAAATGATCAACTCAGTTGAATTCAATTGGCTTGCAAAGTTGAGCCTGGTTCAACTTTTTTCAATTCAAGTGAGTTGATCAAGTCAGTTGAATGGCATGGTTTACACGTTCAATTCGCGTTCAAGTCAGTTGAATTCAACTGACTTGATCAATTGACTTGCCCTGTTTAAACCCAGCTTTAAGATGGGTTTAGACAGGGCAAGTCAATTGATCATGTCAGTTGAATTCAACTGACTTGAACGCGAATTGAACGTGTAAACCATGTCATTCAACTGACTTGATCAACTCACTTGAATTGAAAAAAGTTGAACCAGACTCAACTTTTCAAGCCAATTGAATTCAACTGAATTGATCATTTGACTTGCCTAGTCTAAACCCAGCTTTTCAATGCGTAGGCATTGTTTTCATTTTGTTCTGTCGTTTTGCTTTTTCTCATCATCGTACTGCAGAAGTCTTCCCTGTTTACGCTGTGCTTTACATCATCAGCAACGAGTGTTACGTTTTGCCTGTGAGCAGCGACCATTACTGGTGATTGTTGTTTGTCATGGCTCTACCTCTTACTGTGTGACAAAACGTTCTGTCAGCGATAGTCGGTTGAAGCGTTGACGAGTGTCGAGTGAGTGTCATGATAGTTTGCATCACTGCTTTTCGAGACCATTTTGCTAGGTTTCTTCCATACTCCAATGTCGTACATCAAATGATAGTAAGTGACTACCCGAGTAGCACACTTCCACTAAAATAAGTTGCAGCAACTTGTTTATGCCTGAAATAAGTCGTATAGAAGTTTCCACAACCGATTAAAGACAAGCGTGCTACTAGGGTAAATAGACAGTGACGATGAGGTTCGATTGAGAAAGAGGTCTTCAAATGATGGGCATGGGTGAATTCGTTTTCACAGAATTTATTGAATGGTTGTATGCGTTCATCTTCAATCGAATGATATGAAAATTAACCGCACTGATACAAAGTATTGCTGAATCAGCAATACTTTGAATACGTAGTCGGTTTTTCGTTCACTCGTTGGTGGCAATGAATGTGATGTGATCGTCATTCGAAACCTGTAAAGTGTTTATTTAAGTGTTGTTGTTTGAAAGTGTACTTCCGTTCGATCGCGACGTAGTGGCAAGAAATTCTGCTGAAAGCGAATTTTGGACAAAAATCCTGCAGCAAGGCAGTACAAAGAGAGTGTACTTCATCCAGTTGCGAAGAAGACGGCAAATTGTGAGTGAATGTGAAGTGAAGCACCTAGACTCAATTGGACAGATCGGCTGTGATTATGTCGGGGCTGTGATGTGGAAATGTGATTTGTGAAATCAGTTCACCGTTGGACGAAGTAGTATTCTGCTGTAGTGTAGTGCGATTTCGCGGGTTCTGTAGCGATAGGAAAAGTCTAGCAATGGATGTAGTATACCTCGGATAGCTGCGACAGTGATTCGCGCGAACAGAAAACTGCCGACTTTGGGCATGCCAATAAGCGCCATCTGAACGAGGACTTGCTGCGCATGTGCAAAACCAAGAAGCTGGCCAAAGACATCGAAACGTTGCTCCTAAATCACAACAGCCTCTCGATCGTACCGGCATCCATCGGTGAATTCGCGAACCTACGTGTGTTGGACCTTAGCAACAATAGCCTGGAGCAGATACCGGAAGCGATAACGCAACAGTGTCAGCTGACGACGTTAATTGCCAAAAATAATCTGTTGACCAATAAATCGCTACCCAAGATGCTGCGATCGTCGCATGGAGGTGGCTTGAAGGAGCTCAACTTGAGTGGAAATCGCTTCACGCACTTCCCCGAACAGGTGATCGAACTCAAGTCGCTGAAGTATCTCTACCTATGAAGCAATAAGATCACCAATGTTTCGAAGGACATCTGGAAGCTGCACAACTTGCAGCTTCTTTCGCTGGGCGGGAACCTGATCACGGAGATCCCGGACACCGTCGGACTGCCGAATAATCTCCACGCTCTCGTACTCTGTGATAACCTGATTGAGGCGCTACCGAGCTCAATCGCTCGTCTGGTACATCTCAAGTCGCTGCTTTTGCACAAAAATTGTCTCAAACATCTGCCACGTGAAATCATTACGCTGAAAAATCTAACCGAGCTCAGTCTACGTGACAACCCGCTGGTCGTGCGTTTCATAAAGGATATGAACCTCAATCCACCTACTCTGCTGGAACTGGCCGCCCGTTCAGCGAAAATCGCTTCAATACCCTACGGTCCTGATGATCGTCCTCGGTCACTGATTGACTACCTGCAGACGGCCAACTGCTGTGTTAATCCCAACTGCCAAGGAGTATTCTTCGACAACCGTGTGGAGCACATCAAATTTGTCGACTTTTGCGATAAATATCGTATTCCTCTGCTGCAGTATTTGTGCTCCTCCCAATGCATAAATGACACCAAATCGACGGATGTTTATGGTGAGCCCAGCAGCAGTATGATGCGGAAGGTATTTCTCGGGTGATTTTGGTCAACACGTCTTCTTTGTTAATATCGCAGCGACGACGAGGGTTTGTATTCTGTATCTCGTTGTCTCTTGCTTGTCTATGTGGTCCTATCCATGGTGGGTATAGCAGCTTTGTCACTATATGTCCGAGAAGATCGCGGGGGGGGGGGGGGGGAATAGCGTAAAATCTACTGACCTTTGGGTTAAAATCAAATAAGAAGCATATTTTCCGTGTTTTGTTTTTATTTTTATTTTTGGTTTCTCTCAAATGCACATTATTAATAAACGCTCTCATGAAAAGTTTTTTTTAAGCCGTTCTATTGTGCGATGATGTGATACTCTCAGTTCGGAAGGCTTTGGAAAGGTCGATGTCACTGACCATCTAACTACGATGACGATATTGCCGCATAAGCTGTAATGACACAACAGCAAAAAAAAGCATGTAATTTTAGACTTCATATAATGAAAACAAGTAATCTCTAATAAGACTTTAAATCGGTTTCGGGAATCCAGCTGCAGTATTGTCCTAATGATAATATTTATGGTACCAAAAATCTAATTACAGTGCTTTCACGATTTTGTCTACCCCCGATTTTGTCTACTCCCGATTTTGTCTGCTTGTTTTTACGATTTTGTCAGCCTGAAGATTTTGCTGAACTTTTTGGTTTTTAAGCATGAATTCTAAAGCATTTTGCTCCAAATGACACTTAATTGTTTTGTCGCAACAGTAACGAAGGTAGCTCAAACAAACCTCAATTATTGCGAAACTGCACAGCTGTATCGAATCCCTCCCGATAAAGGTAACTATATGGTGGATAGAGCTGGGATGGCTGCAATCAGTGATGCAAAATATCATGACACTCACGTGACACTCGTCTTCATGACACTCACGTGACACAACCGACTATCGCTAACAGATCGTTTTGTCACGCAGTGAGAGTTAGAGCCATGACAAACAACAATCACCAGTAATGGTCGCTGCTCAAAAGCAAAACGTTACACTCGCTGCTGATAATGAAAAGCACAACGAAACCAGTGAAGACTTCTGCAGTACGATCATGAGATAAAGCGAAACGACAGAAGAAAATGAAAACAATGCCTACGCATTCCAAGTTCGTCTCGGCAGGCGCGAGTGTGTGAGTTAAAAACAAAGCAGGCAACATTACACGGAAGCTGTTGGGCTCACTCACCAACACACTCACATAAGCAATCAAAGCAGCAACTGATTGTCAGGAATGACCAGATCGGTGATGGATCACAACAGAAGACGACATTCACCAGTTGCTTTTTACTTCTTTCGTCAACTTGATGGATGGTCATGGAGAGAGCTTCGACGAGCACATTGATAGGAATGTACAAAGCGTTACTACCATCAGCTGTTTGGCGATCGTGATTGTGATAGGTCGCAACTCTGGCTGCAATACCCCATTCAAGAAGAAGGTTTCGTGATGCAGTTGTTACGCACCCGATGGATGATGAAGCAGTTCCACGAGACGCTGATTGGGCTTACCGAAGAGCCGGTAGTCATCGGAGGAGACTTCAATGCTTAGGCAGTGGAGTGGGGAAACAGATGTACCAACGCAAGAGGACACATTCTACTGGAAGCTCTGGCAAAGCTGGAAATTAGGCTGTTTAATAAAAGCTCCACCAGCACCTTTCGCAGAGATGGCCGGGAATCCATTATCGACGTGACTTTATGCGGACTGCAGTCCTTCGCTGGTGGAAACATGAATTGGAGAGTGTGTGAAGAATATACCAATAGTGACCATCAAGCATAGGCGTTGCCAGAGGGGGCAGGGGGAGGCAACTGCCCCCCTTTACTCAGCAACACAAAGGCTTTCGGTGAAATGGCGTTTTGTGAAATGGCGTTCTGTGAAATGGCGTTCTGTGAAATTGCATTCTGCCAAATTTTCCAAAGAAATTTTTTTTCGCCCTTCCCTAGCTCGAAACCTGGCTACGCATTTGCCATCAGGCAATCCGATATGGCATCGGCCAACGGAATCCTGTACCAGTATAGAGGACGAGAACTTGCGACCTGAAGTGGAAGACGAGTTGACAGAATCGTTAGGGAGAGCATGTGACACGACCATCCCGAGGAAACTGGAACTAAATAACAGACGGCCTCCAGTTAGTTGCTGCAACGAGGTAATTAGCACCCTCCGCGCTAGTTGTCTCAGAAACAGAAGACGTGTTCAGAGAGCAAAAACAGAAGCAGACAGAGAGGAACGTAGAGGAATGTTCCGGGCACATAAACGCGAGATAAAGCAGAGCAAGTCAAACTGTCAACTGGAGTTGGGTCGAGACGCTGCTGCCAACGATGTACACCGTGTCGTGATGACGAAGATCAGTTGTCAAGTTATGCCCGCTGAAATTTGCTTAGAGAACCTGAAAGTCATTGAAGCACGATCCAATGACCTGGCCACTTGCATCGTACAGAGACGGATAGGGAGATAACGACGAAGTCACCAACGAGAAACTCGTAGAAGTGCCTGCTGCATACACTCGGAAAACTCTTTGAGAGGATCATCCTAAACAGACTGACGAAATTCACGGAGAGTGAGCAAGGATTGTCGGAGAGGCAGTTCGGATTTTGAAAAAGAAGAGCAAAAGTGGATGCAATTCGGACAGTTGTTGAGAGAGCTGAGAAGGCGTCGAAACAGAAGTGGAGAGGAGATCGATATTACGCCGTGATCGAAGGGGACGACTCTATCTACGATGCAGAAAAGATTGTGTTTTGCTGTGGCTAGCTGCGCGCACAAGTAGATGCGACAAATGAAAGAAGATTTTACGAAGATTGATTCGCTAGTGTGAGATTTGTTGAGCATCTAAACTTGAGATTTAGATGTGTCGCCCCCCTCGGCCGTGATAACGATCGACGTCAAGAATGCGTTCAACAGCTCCAGCTGGGAGGCCGACGCTACTTCCAGAACTGGGTTCAGATCTACGAGCAAAATATGGGACCGAGATCGATTAGGATCACGGTGGGAATTCCACAAGGCTCCATCCTTGGCCCAACGCTCTGGAACGTGATTTAAAACGGCGGTCTAACGCTGAAGCTACTCAAACGAGTAAAAGATCGTTGGCTTTGCGGACGACGTCGTCTTATGGTAACAGGCAAGACGCTTGAATAGATGGAAATGTTGGCGACTGAGGCTGTCCACATGATTGGAAACCTAATGCATAAAGCGAAGCTACAGATAGCCCACAACAAAAGCGAGGTGGTATTGATCATTAACTTTAAAGCGCTGCAGTGGTCAGAAATTACCGTTGGGGAGCACGCAATAAACTAGAAGTGCGTGCCAAAATGCCTGGGAGGGATGGTCGACGACCGTTTGGCTTCAATAGCTACGTAGAATACGCCTACGAGAAGGCAGCGAAGGCCATCAACGCGGTAGCCAGAATCATACCGAACATCTCGGGACCAAGCAGTAGCAAGAGACGGCTCCTAGCTAGTGTATTTACCACAGAGAACAGACATCCAAGTCAAATTCCTTAAGTGTGTAAGACATTTAGCTGCTATTTTGAATAGACATTTGAAACTAGCAATATTGTGGTGGCGCTAGTGTCGCTGCCCATCGACGTCGATGACCGGCAGACGTCATCTTAACATAAATGTCAAAATTGTTGTGAGCAAAATATTGTTTGTTTAAAACCGATCAAAACATGGGCCGCAAGAGCTAGTTTTATTGATGCGCAAATAAACCAAGCGAAAATCTTTTCACAATTTTCCTATGGGTGCTGAATTGCCCGAACTACAGGAGACTTTCTTCTCACGTGGAGTCCAAGCGTTTGTAACGAAAAAGTTATGTTCCAACCACTTCCCGCCGGAGGCTTTTCAAATTCCTGGAAGAACGTATGCTGGGTAATCAGTGTTCAAATTTACCACATTTTTCTGAATTTAAATAAGGGCTAATTGGAGTTCACACCCTCACTGAATCATTTGAAAATACGCCGCCAGTGAACTCAATTTTGCTCCTGACTATTATGCCCAGTTAAAATTGGAACGAAAAACGGTTGTAGATCTACAGGAAACTGTAAACGAGCTTAAAATAATAATGGTTCCGCAGAAACTCAATTGATTTCCGTTGTTTTTTCTTGTTTGTTTTGAACTGATTTGACAGTTCATTTGAAAACACGGTCAATAAGATCAACCCAAATCGCAAAAAGTGATAACTTGAGTCGCAACATTCCGTATAGCGGCGCTAGTGTTTCTAATGTATTTTAATTTGAATTCTTACACATTATTTTTCGAAAAATTTGTTAAAGCTTGGATGTCTGTTCTCTGTGTATTTACGTTGATACTGAGATATGGAGGTTCAGCCTTGGTTACAGCGCTGAAAACCAAGCGGAATTAAAGGAAACCGAACAGTACGTACCGGCTCAACAAACCGTACGTAAACTTTTTGAGACGTTTGGTGTACCCTTTGTTTGAGGATTAGTAAACATTTATCAGTAATTCCATTAATAGTGGATAACTAGTGGCTATGGGAAAGTATTGTATTTCTTTGGGAGGTGAAGTGCTCGATTCCCGGAACAGATTTCGTTTAATATTGTAAATTTAACGATCGGTGGGGGAGAGGGAATTGTCCAATGCTAAATTAACGGCTGGATTCACGGGATCAATTCAACATTGGGGATCTGGCTCCTTTTAATATACTTTATTTATAATTTAATTTACTTACCTGCTCTACTCTCTTGACGCGAACAAACAGCACGAAACGATATTTACGAAAACACTTCAAAACTGAACTCACACACCGCACTGCATGACGTCGCAAACAAAAGTGACAACTGCACTAAAGAAACAATTTAAACCAAATTTAAGTTTATTTTACTCAACATCGAGTTTAGCTTAAGTAGTCGATAGTGATTAGTTTTGAACTTAAACTAATGTTTAGACTTAGACTTCAATTTCATTCTTAACCCCCCACTAAACCGATTCAAAATGGTTGCTTCCTTCACAGCAAAAAAATAATTTTGATATCACATCAAAGTGGATGCACTACAATCATGTCGAAAATTTCATGTAATTT